TATATATCCTATATATTCTATATAAGATATATATCCTATATAGTATATCCTATATAAGATATATATCCTATATCCTATATATATAGGATATCTTGTCATAGGATATATATATACTATATAGGATATCCTAAATAATCTTATATCCTATGTATTTAAGATTCATACATAAATAATCCTAAATAATTCTAAATGGTATGTATGAATCATAAATAATTCATACATACTATGGTAATTATTTAGGATTCATACATACATTCTTGATACTATGGCAATAATGTATTTATTTATACTATCATCATCATCTCATGATGATAGTATTTCTTGATAAATTCCAAATGATAGTATAAATTCTCAATGATGTATGTCATAGTATGAATTCTCAATGATAATATTTTCTTGATAAATTCTCAATAATTTATTTAGGATTCATAAATTCTTAATAATGTTTTTCTTGATAAATTTTCAATGATGTATGTCATGGTATGAATTCTCAATGATCATCATCTCATTGGCAATTACTGGAAATTTATCAAGAGATCACTATCTCATACAACACATCATATTATAGACATTATTGCGAGGATGGTCATTAAGACTGAGTTCTATCTGAACACTCCATTCGTGTTTACATAGTAGAGAGAGCGACTCATGTCAGGCGCTAGCTGGCTTGGGCTCGGCCCTCACTCCTGGCGTCGAGTGGGGATCTGTTTTTCCAATAGTGGACCAAAATGCGCCTAAATATATCTAGAATGACCCATCAACACCCCTCCTTTGCCAGAGTTGCAAACTTCAAATCTCAATAATATCCATATAATTTTAATTTTAGAAAAGCTTATATCGCATTGGTTTATAAAAATTTTACAACGGCAGGCCATTATCATTTTTATAAGGGATTTGTTATCATTTATCTTTTTTGCATATGAAAATCAAAATTATTTTTTATAACTGAAAAATGAATGTAACAAAACAATTTCTTTTTAATAAAAGAGGTCACAATATTATCAAATTTAAAATTATGTGATTAAAGAAGTATCATTATTTAGACAAAGAATCCCAAATAACGATTCTCAAATGGTGTACTTTCATTATTAGATTTCATATTCAATAGCTAAAAGTTATTGAGATATTTTTGTACTAAAAATAAATAGTATCATAGTATACTATCTTTTTATAATAGAATTTTAAGGTCCCACGAATGAAAAAAAAAATTAAAAGACAATTTAAATTGTAAATAAAAATAAGTCGATGATCCAGAGAAAGAGTCAATCATGGGGTGAAATAACAAACCCTAATCTTTGGGTAGGTTTTTGGTAGTAAATGGAGTCCAAGAGAGAACCCCATTCTCTCTTTGTCTTTCTCTCTCTTAATGCAAGGGAGTAGAGTGGGAACTCGGTTTCGCTGCTCCTTGTTTAAGGTCGCCCGACCCTTTCTACCCTTTTCGGCACTCATTGCTGGGTTCTGTTGCTCGCTTCCCACATCCCTTCTCTTTCTAAAGCATTCAGTTTTTGTGTGCATCTCTCTATGCTGTGCATACTGGGTAATCGTACCTACCCGTCGATGAATTTCTCCCTTTACTCATCATTTTCTTACAGTATTGGATGAATTTCAACCCTCGGATGTTAATATAGTGGTCCTTCGTATTTAGACATCGGTGTCGGCCCTTGGACGCTAAAGAACCGAGCCAAAAGTCTCAAGTCCTAACTACATCACCTTTCTTGGTCCCCTACCGTTTCTCTCTCTCTTTCAAGCGAATCTTTTATGGAAAAAATTATGGAAGGTTGACACTTTAAATGGTATTAAAAAATTATTTAATTGATCATTTCAAAATTAAGATATACGTATATAGAAGAGAAAAAGATTTTAAGTTGAAATAAAGATATACAAATAAAGAAGAAAAAGGATTTGAAATACCTAAAATAGTACATTTTGTAAAATATTATTTGAACCGTCTATTGTCATGTGTTTATAAATGTACTTGATTGAAAATAATTTTAGAATTTAAAATTTTATAATTAAAGGCTAAAATATATTTTTTGGCCATTCTAAAAATTTTAAACCAAAATTACATATTGTAACAAAATTTACAGATATACCTTATTTTGATTAAGGTTACAACTTTATGCAAAACCACACCCATCTTCAATTTCCTAAATTTTCTAAGATTTAAATGTCGCAGATTTTCTTGAGTTACATTGGATCATCCGTTCGTTTTGGTCCATTTAAATGAAGACCAAGTGAACCCATCTTCAATTTTCCAAATTTTCTAAGATTTAAACGTCGCAGATTTTCTTGAGTTACCTTGGATCATCCGTTCGTTTTGGTCCATTTAGATGCAGACCAAGTGAACCACATAACAAGGTTTTCTACGATTCGATTTTGAATGTCAAGATATATCATACGTCAAAATATATCTTGACAAGATATATCTTGACATAGTACATGGGGTATATCTTGATATATATATATCCTATGACAAGATATTTTGTCATAGGATATACATCTTATAACAAGATATATTTTGTCATAGGATATATAATATATCTTGTCATAAGATATAGGATATAGGATAAATATCTTATGACAAGATATAGGATATCCTATGTCCTATATATATCATATAGGATATATAGAATATCCTATATCTTGTCATAAGATATCTTATGATATAGCATATATCCTATATCCTATGACAAGATATATCTTATATCTTATATCCTATGACAAGATTTAGGATATAGGATATATCTTATATCCTATATATAGGATATAACATATATAGGATATATATATCT